GTATCCCCTGACCTTTAGTTCCCAAGCCCTGATTAGGTAAAAGCCCTTGCTCAAACATTCGGTGGGTGACCTGTTCACGAGGACTATACAAACACACCCCTATCTCTTTCATAACATCTCGGCCCCACAGATTGACCGGCAGCCCCGGCACGATGTACGGCTGGAATCTACCCTGATGACCCTCGGCATCTTTCCAAAGTAAAACATTACTACTCTGTTCAGTGCTTTGGCTTTGACCTATTCCTTGTAATTGTGTCATTGTCGGTTGCCTAGGCCATGCCTTAGGCCATTGGTCTGCAGTTAGAACTGAGACGTCAGCCCCAGTGTCTAGTAGACCCTGAAAATTTTTTCCATTGACTGTCAGGGTGAGCTCAGGTCTTTGGGCTCCTATAGACTGCACCCAATAAACATCTGAGGAGCCAAATCCAGCATCTCCTCTTTTTTCTCTTTTTGTTGGATTATTTGTTAGCACTTGAGGGAGCAACAGCAACTGCGCTATACATTGTCCTGCTTGCATTACAGAGATCCCGGTAGGTGAATGAGTCATAATTTTAATTTCTCCAATGAAATCCCCATCTATGACCTGGGGAGCAACCAGAATACCATTCATTGTAGCGCTACTTCGACCTAAAAGCAACCCTATCATCCCTGATGGTAGGGGTCCATAAACTCCGGTAGGTAGGGCCTGCATCCCCATTTCTGGGGTTAATACTGTGAAGGCGGAGGGACTGAGGTCCAGTCCTGCACTGCCTGTGGTTGCTCTGAAGAGATCCTGAATGGATTTCCTTGCTGGGGAATGAATGTTTGAAGTGCTCCATAACATTGTTGTGGGGCCTGGGGCAGGCCCCTCCTCCTGTTTCCTGCTGGAGAATATTTCCCATGGCATCCTTTTTGGATTTACACTCATTAGCCCAATGATTGCCTCTTTTGCATCTGGGACACAATCCAGGCCCATTTCCTTTTCCTGCATAGTTCGAATTAACTGGAGGGGTCTCATTGGGACATTGCCAAACCTGATGGCCTATTTGACCACATCCAAAACAACTCCCTCACGGACCTGGAACCCTGCCTTTGGGATTCCTCTTTCATTGTTGGAACAACACTTCTTTAATGGTTTTTCCTTGCAAAGCCGCTGCCATGGCAAGGCCCTGAGTATAAGCAGCCCCAATGTCAGCACACATTCTAACATAGTCTGAAATGGTGCCTTTTTTTCTAAATGGTCTTAGGGCTGCCTGACAGGTGGTATTGGCATTTTCATAAGCTAGTTGTTTGACCAGCAATAACCCTGCATCGGAATCCCCCAGCAATCTACTGGCAGTCTGCATTAACCTGGCTACAAAATCTTGAAAAGGCTCATCAGGTCCCTGCCTAATTTTAGATAAATCTTCTGTCTGCCTTCCTGTAGAAGGCAGCTTATGCCAGGCCTGCTTGGCAGTGGTATTGACCTGTGCATATACTCCTGCAGGAAAAATTGATTGGCGAGGTCCACATATTGCCACTCCCCTGCTAACATGTCATAATCAACATCATTTCTGTTAGCTTGATTTAATTCAGCTGTTCTCTGACACTGCTCGGAAAATTCTGATTTTCAAAGGAGAAAGTCTCCCCCAGACAAGCATGCCTTGGCAAGCTGTTTCCAATGCCCTGGAAGCAGCGCATCTGTACTCAGCGATTCTAACATGGCCTGAGTAAAAGGTGCAGTAGGACCATATTGCGCACATGCTATTTTTAGCTCTTTGAGCTGTTTAAAAGGTATTGGCCGATGCGTTCTGACCATATTCCCTTGAGCATCAGCTTCCTCAAATACTGGACAAGCTAAATGAAAGCCCTGGGTATCTTCTCCTCTGTCAACCGCATGTTGCAGGGTAGCTTGTAATGGCAACAGAGACCGAGAGTTGACAGACAAAGGTCTGGGTCCTGGTGGATGTTTGATCATGGCTATAAGAGGGTCAGTTTCTTTTTTTTTAAATTTTGGACCTACAACCGGCGGGGGATCAAGACCAGCAATTATACTAGGAAACATTCCTCCCTCTCCCTGAGTCTTCTGGTCTTCCTCTTCCACCGTTAAGCCTGTCTGCCACTGCTGGCAAAGAGACTCCAATGTCTTTTCCAACCTAGCAATCTTTTCGGTCACATCCTCATTCGTTGACCATTTGAATTTTTCGGGTTTTTTGGCCGTGGCTACAACAGGGAGGGGGGTCCAGTCCTCATTGTTATACCTAGCAGCCTCTTCTTCCAAATCATCAGCATCTCCCGGCTCTAAGGGACCCTCATCTGGAAAAAGGCCCTTCCTTAGTGCAGGCTCCGCATCAGCATACACTGGTGGAGCAGATGGCTTAGTTTCACTTTCTATAGGAGGCGGAGGGACAACCTCGGGAACATCAGTCTTATCAGACTCCTCCAAGGAAGGACTTGAGGAGGGTCCTTTAACCCTCTCTCTCTCATGCTGAGGGTCCAAACTATCTCTAATTAAAGCCCATAAACTAAAAGTATCTATAGGAACTTTAGTGGATCCATGACCATCGTAATAGTCCTGAAGTTGCTTTCCCACCTTATTCCATACTTCTAAATCTACTGTGCCTTCTTCAGGAAACCAAGGACAAACTTTCTCTACAAACTCCAGGAAATTACGTAATTGTTGATGCCCTACCTTTGCTCCACGAGTGTGAAGCATATTTTTAAGCAAATGTACAAAAAGCATTCGGCTATTACCATTACCCATCTTGTTACTCCCGAGTGTACTCACCGCCCTTGAATTACTTATCGGAGCTCACGATCCGCGGTGTCCTTCACTATGGTCCCCCATATTCAGGTCCCTGTTCGGGCATCACCCGTGACGGAGCCCGCCGTCACTTGTTGAACAGCACCTGAATGGGGAAGTGAGGATGAAGAAAAGGAAAGACACAGAGATAGAGTCGGGAGGGCTCCCAGAGAGATTGAGAGCCCAAGTTTATTGTTTCTGGATCTTTTATACACTGAACAGGCTGTGGCTATTTTTAGTCCTGGCCTTGATACAGAAACACCCACTTCTCTTTTCTTTGGAATTTCCCCATTCTCTAGAATTTCCCTGTTCTTTTAGTTCTTTATATCTCTGGGTAAAAGAACATTCATCATGGCACAGGACAATCTTTAAAGATAAGCATTTGGCTTGGCAGGGACAGAGTATTCCCAGAGCTGATATCTTGTCCTTTACGGTGGAGGGCAAAGTTAAAATGGAATCTTCATAGCTAACACTGCCTTCCACACCTTATTAACTTGGCTGACCACTCTGCCACTTGTAGTCATTCTGAGTTCCCAAATTTCTGTTTGTGGTGCATAGGGGTTTCTAGCATCACTTCCCTGAAACCTTATTAGACATAGGATTAGCATAATTATGGTTTTGTTTCCCATCCCAGTCTTATCTTTTGATCCCCTGTCAGTGGTCTCTCTAGAGGGAGACTGGAGACCCCAGAGAGCACTGACCTTTAAAGAAAGAAAAGGAGACAGCCTGGGGGATGAATAGCAGTTTATTCTCCTGACACTGTTCGACAATCACAAAGGAAAGAAGTAAGGCTTTTATACATATAGGAAAACAGCTTAGTCATTCTGGTTATTGTCTTTTTGGTTTTAACATCTGGTGATAACAAGTGACTCTAAGTGACTCACAAAAGCTACAGGACAATTTACATGTCCCTTGTTTCTGTTCACTGATCTGTACATCTAAGAATACATCGAAGCTCTCTTCTTATCAGATGGTACCAAGAAAGCAGGGCAACCTCGGTAGAAGTCAAGCCTTGGCCCACCACAAACATCACAGATGTACATAGTGAACCATATCTCTCTCACCATCCGTAGCGTCATTGGGTCGAGGTCCTCTGACCCTGGACAATGGTCACTAAGAAAGCTAGGAAACCATGTTTTTCTCCCGTAAAACTTTTACAGCATCTCTTAAAGTTTCCTGGAATTCTTTTAACAAACAGACTTGTGGAAATTCCCAGAAATGACTTCTTAATTTTTCTCAGTTAACAACTTCTTGTGATCATATTCTTACAATAAGATAACTAAATTCTACAATTTCCCACAATTCCCCCATTTTGTTTTATTTAGGCTAAATTCTTTTTTTTTTTTGGTACCGGGGATCGAACTCGGGTCCTTGCACTTGTGCAGCAGGCACCAAAACCACTGAGCTAAATCCCCAGCCCCTAAATTCGTGATTATAACATCAAAAAGATCAAGAGATGGGATCTTGAAAGACCAGGAAGGTAGACATCTTATGCCAGCTCAATTTGATGTTTGGTCCTTCTATAATTTTATAAAACAGCAAGGAATATAATAAAA